CCAGTCTCCTCCTCCCCCCTCCAGTGGCCGATCTCCTCCTTCTCTCCCCCCCCCGCTCCGGTGGCAAGGCCTGAGAGGCTTCCAACCCCTGGCCCACCGCAGAGTTCCCAGAGCGTTCCCAGCACATGTGCAGGAAACGCTCTTTTACCCTATATTTTTTCAACTTTTTAGATTTTTGTACACACCTGGGGACTGCCCCAAGTGTGCAGGAAAATCTCCCTGCCCCCAGGTGCCCCCAATGTGTGGATTTAGATATCTGCACGCAGGGGGCCCCTTCGCTATTAGATATATAGATATACTTTTTATATGTACATATATATTCTGATAATGTCTTCAATATCTGTAAAATTGCCCTTACATTATGTTTTGATAATTATATTTCCTATGCCGTTTTTCCTATTCCTTCCCCCCCCCCATATCCCTTTAAAAATTAAAATAAAATAAAGGCTACTTCTGCTCAGCACTGACTAGAACAGAAATTGCCTGCCATCTATGTTAGCTAATTTTATCATTCTCCATTAATTTGTGAAATTATTATGAAAAGAAGTTACAAGCAGGCACACAGAGAAAAAAGGGTGACTTCCCTTCAATGAGGCTTCAATGTTACAACTTGACAGTTATTAGGCTATCAATGTTAGATCAGTCCTAGTGCAAGAAACCATCAAAAGGGAAGTTTGTTCCTGTTACCCTACATAGGGTGTGTATTTATTCCACATTTTAACTGAAACAAATACTTTATTGTAGTGATTTACTCTGAAGAAGTACGGTACTAACTTCACTCATGATGGATGGTATGAACACACCTTGAATGCCTCCCTCGACTGAGTTTCTAGAATTTTTACTCATTTTTATAAGAAAATATGAAAACACTGCACTTTAAAAGAATGTAAACACTTTTTATAATTGTTTACTATTTATTGGGATGGTTTTAGAAAGCTTTAGGGTCAGTTCAAAGTAAGTATCAAAATCTTCAACTATCATGACTGGTTTATTACATGGAACCAATGCAAATTTGAAAGTTGAGATTTACAATTATCAAATACTAGGGCACTCTTTCTGGAAAACATAGGAACCAAGGTGCTCCAAGTAGAGATCTGGGTCAACCTGGTCCATAAGCAGTTATTAGACAATTTTTTAACTTGTTCATTGTTGTAAACCACCTTGGACTCATTCTCAAGGAAAAGGGCCCCCCACGATTATTTCAAATAAATACATTCCCATCAATGTCCCTCAATTTACTATGAAGGCATTGGACAAATTACTCTCAGCCTCACTCTTCCATTGTAACTATGACCTACTTTACAGGATCTTGGTGAGCTGCTGTAAACTATCAATACTTAAGCATCACTTATTTAACAGTGAAGGAATACTGCACGGGCCTCCTCTTCACCAGATAACAAAGAATGTATTACTAGACGTCAAATTTTAATTGCAAAACAATACATGTAGTCTCTAAGATACAACCATTTGACCAAGTTTTTGTTCTGGGTAACCCTTGCTGTACTCGAAATTGTAATCTTGAAGATGAAAGTGGGGGAGGAGTCATGAAATGGGATTCTGATTACTGACAAGCTGGGTTCCCACCCTGCTCACTTAGTTCAGCCCCCTACAGGACATCAGCCTTACCAACCAGCATCACCCATGTCATCCAGCTTTAGCTCCAGCAAGCTCTCCCTCAACCACCTGACCAGTGAATCCAATCACTGGTCCAGCAGCTTTGAGGAGCTTAAAATAAAGTAAAACAAAAGTGTCATCAACATACAGACAACAATGGACTCCAGAGCTTCAGAGGCTCTCACTCAACCACCTTACATAAAATAGTAAACAGAGGAGCCAATACAGACCATGCAGAACCTCATGAAATGTCTCAATGTAGATTCAGCCTTTCCCACAGCAACTTTATGAACCTGGCCAGAAAGAGTGTGGGAAACCAGTGCAAGCAAACTGAACCAATCCAGGGCTAGCAATGAAGTGTGAATATAAATCATATTAATCCCAATACAGGAAATTAACACAATTTACAACCAATGAGCACCAATGTCCTGCAGTGTCAAACAAAGACTGGGGAGACCTGAGTTTAACTCAGGACTAATTCACATCTTGTTATGTTTGTTTATTTATTTATTTATTTGATTTATATCCCCGCCCTCCCAACAGCTCAGGGCGGCTTACATATGGCAAAGCCAGAGTAAAATACAATAAAACATATGATAAGCTACATATTTAAAACACAATAAAACCATCCTATTTACACGGTGCTGAGCCTATATTTAATCTTCCATGATGGGAATAACCACCCAAATTTGATGGCCAGCTCTCTCGGCAAAGCTGTTTCCTGCTACGCTGTTCTGCCAGGCCGGGCCAGGCCCCCTTTAACACGGCTGCTGATGGCGCACTACCTCATTGGTAGGATAGTGGCGGCAGCGGCTCCTACTCAAACGCCTGGCGGAAGAGCTCCGTCTTACAGGCCCTGCAGAACTGCATAAGGTCCCGCAGGGCCTGGATCTCATCTGGGAGCTTATTCCACCAGGTAGGAGCCGCCACCGAAAATAGAGGAGATACCAAAATTCTATGCTTTGAAACTAACTCTCAGGCTCATCCATGTAAATTTGGACTGGGACCACGAGGAACAGGGGGCCTTCTTCCCTTCCCCTGCATGCCATTTTTTTACAACATGAACTGCCCCTGGGGAGGCACTGTTTGTCCCATGGGAGAAACTGATGTGTAGTCATCTGTAAAAACAAGTTCCTTGCCCCCAAGGGCAAATATTAGCTTCTCATGGCCATTTCAGGTCAGGTAAAGAGCATGGGCAGGAGGAGGCTCAAGTCCCTTTCCCAAAAAGTCCAATGAGGCGCCATGGTTAACATCCCAACATGGCCACATAACTTATGTTTTTTTCCATATACAATCTACATATACAATCTACATATTTCTGTTAAATCCACAGCAAACATTACAGCAGATGAAAGACAAAACGAGCTCCAAAGCAATCACTCCTTCCAAGTTCTGGTCTGATTTGGACCAACACTACCAAGTGCCTCAAGGTTGAAATCCCTCCTCCTAGCACAGTCCATCTTCTCATTAGCTATAGCACACATCCATACCCACTCTGTGAGAGGGAGCCCATCAACAGACAGAGTGATCTAACAGATGAATTAGCTTCCCCAATAGCAGTTTTTGGCAGCCTACAAAAAGATTCAGATTCTGAAGTGTACTGAGGAAATTTTGAACTAGCAAAGAATTATCTTAAACACTCCCTCATTTTAACAGTTAAAAAGAACATCAATGTTTGGTTTTGCCTTTTGCACTAAATGGTACATCAGAGTAAGCCAGATCCCCTGTTACCGTGCTGGCCTTCACTAAGAAAAAGGAAAGAGATAACTAGATCAAGATGGGTAGCTGTGTTAGTCCGTCTATAGCAGTAGAAAAGAGCAAGAGTCCAGTAGCACCTTAAAGACTAACAAAATATGTGGCAGGGTATGAGCTTTCGTGAGTCACTGTATCTGAAGAAGTGAGCAGTGGCTCATGAAAGCTCATACCCTGCCACATATTTTGTTAGTCTTTAAGGTGCTACTGGACTCTTGCTCTTTTATAGGAAATACAACTGACCTACAAAAGCTCAAAAGAATAAATCTCCAAGTTCAATACACTGTACAATAAAGCTAGCCTAAATAAGTGAAATATTTGCAGTACAGGCTACAAC